TGCTGAATACGAATCTTAATAGCTGTTGCCATTGCTTCAAGGTTTATGCAGTTTAAAGACCTAAACCTTTCTAGAGATGCTCGGTTCACCTGCAGTTATGGCACTCGGCGCTTACAAGAAGCACAGCTTTAGGCCTCAAAACTGCCTGTTTGATAATCAGTGCTAAACCTTTTTTCACCAAAGATTGCTCGAGCAGATCTCTTCTTTGTAAGCTGAGATCCTCCCTACAGCTAATGGAGAGACGGAAGCGCTTCTGGGGCACAATCCATCTCACCCCGTGGTAGACATGCAAAAGAAGTCGGAGGAATAGCACGTCGGTGATGTCTTTTTCTCCATCAGTTATAAAAAGAACACAGACAGCCCATTCAGATGCGTATTTCTGCATTTCAAGCAACCAGAGTTAAGACGACTCGCTGCCACTTTCCCAAACAAGGTGTTGTAACAAGCCTTTAACCAGTGCATTTGTTGCTTCTTGCTACAATTTCTGTTTAATTTCTCAGTCAGCAGCCATAACCAAGGGATTGAAAACATCTGTGATATCTTTGAATCTAGTTGGCAAGAGGGAGGAAGCTAAATTACATACTGCCACGTGCCCACTGCTGACAGAAGCACTTTTTCGTAAAGAAGATCCACGATCATGCTAGACACACACTCTATTTCCAAATCTTGGCAGTCTTGGAGAGTTTGCAAACATGGACTCATTTCAAGCCCCGTAGAAGAATACTGCTTCATATTTTTATCTAGATTTTTACTTATACTATACATGCTGCGCTTTGGTGTGAAAGCTTACAACGTAGGAAGGAATTCTCACACTTACAAGACTTTTAAAACCTGCTGCTTCTCTAAACACACCGTCTCTCCTGAGCAGTCACATTGAATGCTCTTGTCAGCTGTGCGATAACCTTTGCTAACAAGGAAAATCTCCACGTTTTCACTGTACTGGAGCACTTAGTCTAGTTAGCTGAGTATGTTTATTCCATCAGCTGTGGAAGAAGGAAAAAGAAAAAGCTGACCCTGGGAAAAAAGGGTCCAGGCTCCATAAAAAAGACGGAAAATCCCAGAAAATAAAATCAATTACATAGTTTAAAAAGGAAATAATCCTTCCTGATTCACTTTCCCCTTCAATTTCCAATTGCCAGAACTGGAAAGCCAGATTCTTGTGATGTATTTGAAATACTTCAAAATAACTTGCCACATGCTCTGGGTTATAAGGAAAATGATCTATGCCAGGTAAAGCAGGACGGGAAAGAAAAAAATCCCCAGCCAACCACCCAAAACCTGCCTGTTTTTATACTTGCTCACTGAAGGCCTACAGCTTTTGGCAAAAACCTCCACCATGACGTCTGCCTGCCTCAGCTCAACAGATTCTGGTGTCCTTCCTTTCACCCATCAAACAAAAAATGTCACGTTGAACAAATGTAGCCTTAAACAACTCAATGTATCATATGCATTCCAAAAGCAAATTAAAAAATATTCCTCTCTAGTTTATTCATCCCAAACTAAACTACTTCTTTTCTTCATCCCTTTTCATCTGCTAGTGGCCTCCAAACCCACTGCCTGAGAGCTTTTTCCCTTGCCACCCCAATTTCCTTTCCTATCATCTCAGTAAAAATATCTTCTGTCCATTCTGATGCATTTAATGTTATTTTTCAACACTGTAAATGAACATACATTATTAGAATGCAAAGATAATTTTCAACTGCTATACCAAAAAAAAAATGAATCTTAGTTATATTGTACCATAAAAATAAATAGTAGAAACAGAGAGTTGGATTCTTTTCTTGCGTCTCTTCCACATCTACTCTAGCTGAAGAGTGTGTGTATATGTATATATAAAATAATGTACAGTAATGTATAATATATGTATGATTATAGATACATACGTATGCATGTATAGCAGTAGTAGTAGTATGTATATATTCATATTTATATAGACATTTAATAGACAGAAACAGAACTCTCAAACCCCAGGAGAATCAAATTAAATATTCTATCTCATTATTCCCTTGCAATATGAAGAAATGTGTTGAATTTTTAAAAGCTTTGATAGGCTCACCTGTGCCATTAACCAAATCGCAGTGACCTTCCCAGTATGAAAGATTCCTTCAAGATAAAAAAGAAGTCATGCCGTGTGTAGTAAATGATAACATATATTCCACTTCATTACCTGTACTGCTAAATATAACTGCTCCAGTATAAGCCTGATTAGTTAGTAAAGTCAAAGGATAGAGATGTTCATTCATTTATTCAGATAAACTATATGATGCATTAGAATAGGATAAAAGAGATCTGGCTACTTAAATATGCAAAACTGAGGTAACTAATTGTATCAAAGAATCAATAATTGTCTTAAAACCAAGTTCCTAACAGAATCATGAATAGCTGAAAGAGAAAGGTGGTTTTGCTAAGCCCAGGGCTTGATCCAGCTTTCCCTGAAATGTTGAAGATCTTCAACATTTACCTATAGCTCTTAGTGAATCAAGCCTTAAAAGCCATACCTTGAAAATATGTATGGTTTTTAATTATACAATGCTATGATACCTTTTGTATTTATAGCTTTCAATTATTGCTGTTTTTTTAATATCTTCTTTCCCAGTATAGACTTTGTAAATTCCATCAAATGTCCCATTATACTGTAAGAGACACAAAAAGAAGGAATAACAGTTAGAAGTACTGAACCAGATTGTAGCATTGTCACATTTTTCCTTCTCAAAGCAACTGCCTTAATTTTTGTTCACAGAAAAATAACTGAAGGCTTTGTTTCTTCATTGGTTTCACTCACCGGGTAGAAGACTCCCAGAACTGGGTCCAAAGGGAAGGGGACCTTGTTTAAGAAGGGATCTTTGTATCCCCATAGTAATTCTTTCACTGTTCTGTTCTGCAGCATGGATGACTTAGAAGCTTTAATCCAAGTATTTAATAGTAGTTGTATAAAAGTGTTTGTATACAAGGCGGGTGCAGCCTACAAAAGCAATAAAATTAATGTTTAGCATAAAATTCTGCATGTGCTTTGGATCAAAAACACAGAGACTGTCTCCAAGGAATCCCTGGCAAAGCCAGTTTCCAGAGTTGCAGCTCACTGTAATTTAAGTTTCTACTTAAAACTGACACTCCCTAACAAAACAATTACTGGGCACAACTTACACAAAGGTAGACAATTTGTCTTTACTGCTTACATGTGTTCACTAGATCATCCCTAATCACAGAATCATAGAATGGTTGAGGTTGGAAGGGATGTCTGGAGGTCCTCTGGTCCAACCTTCTGGCTCAAGCAGGGTCACTGAGAGCCAGTTGCCCAGGACCATGTCCAGACGGCTTTTGAGTATCTCCAAGTAATATTCTCAAATGCCTATCTGTATAACATGGGTTGTACCACTCTCGGTTTTCTACCTGTTTTCTGTCGTCTCCATATGTCACATATTTCGGACTCACTTGCACTATAAATTTGTAAGTAAAAATATACAAGCCTTGTTAGTTATTGGCTTTGATAAGTGGTTTAGAATTGCTGTTACGCTAGCAGCAATACAACTGTATCCTGCATAAAACTGACCAAGTGCTGAATCTCTATTATTTCTTTACTTAGAATGAATACATATTTTCAACAAACAAATCCTTTCTGAACAGCTTTAATTCTAAATAATGGATAACTTTTCCTAATTGAATGAATGAAGAACAATGTAGATTTACCAGCAGTAATTGTAATGAACATTCCCAGAAGCATAAACACAAAGTCAGGTCCCTAAATGAAATGGCCTAAATTAGGACACAGGCAGAATATATCTGGTCTGAATAAGGTAATTTACCTTTACTTTTTAGGTCTTTTCTCCCTAGAGAAAAGAAGGCTCAGGCAGACTTCAGCACAATACTCTAGTACTTAAAGGGCGGCTAGAAAGAGGATGGAGGCTCTTTCTTCACAAGGAGTGACACGGAGAAGACAAGGGGAAATGGGTACAAGTTGCACCAGGTAAGGTTTTATCTTGACAGCAGAAAGAAATTTTTTAGAGTGAGAACACTCAGCCAATGGAAAGTTGTACAGTTCCCATCACCGGAGTTTTTCAAGGTGCAAACGGACAAGGTTCTAGAAAATGGCATCTAGGCTCCCTTTCTCAGAAAAGGTTGGATCAGATGATCTTTTGAGGTCTCTTCTGACATGGGCTCTTCTATGATTCTGTGGTTGATCCTATGATTCTATGTCTTGTTAACACCGAGCATCTCTTCGCTATGCCCCTAGCCCCCACCCTCTCCCAGTGACCCTGAACACTTAGGCGCAGACACCGCAGCGTCAGTGCAAGACAGGCAGGCGGCACAGCCAGGGCTGCAGGTAAATACGAAAACTGTAAACGCCAGCCAAGGGCAAACATTGTCAGCCTGTGACAACACAAAAACATCGGTACTGAAAAGGCTCTAGCTGTCTCTGGGTGGGCACCCCTGTGCTTTTCCTTCAAGGACTCTCAGTGGACAGGAGAGCTGAGGGATGCCATTGCAGTGGTGCTGAGGGGCAACATGGGGAGCAAGCAGTTGGGGAAACGAGGTCGTGTATACACCGAGAATGGGTTTTGATACAGCCCCCTCTGCAAAGCAGGACTGAGGATACTATGGAAAGAGTACGGCAAGTCTGCCTTGTACTGTTCATCCTGTACCTCACACAGAATGGGAATCCATCCACGAACTCGTGATTCATTCCCACACTAAAATTGACTAGGACAACACTTCTCAATACATCCCATCCTAACTGATGACTGCGCTTCCATTGACAGGGACAAATCAATTTTTTCTTACTGTTAAGATTACCCTGGAAATATAAGGCAACCTTAATATATATGCAATATGTCCTCAGAATATTTTTTTTAAAGCCAGTAATACAGCTATCCTCAGTGTAGCTGACACTCATGTCATCTGAGTTCATAGAGAGGAAAGCTATCCTGTGGCAATTTCAGTATTACTAATGCTAACTTCTTCCCCATTTCCCCAGTATCTCAACATTTGAATGTAGGCATTATGGTTTTGTTTCTTTACTTACAACAACAGCAAGGTTAAGGCATGTGATGGTATCATTTTCTGTCCCAACAGACATATCAGGTTCAAAACGAGCAATGTTAGGCAACATGTAGGATATCGTGCCATCAGGGTTTTCCGTGACATTTTCTTTGGGTAAATATCGCACCCTTGAAATACAAAATAAAAACATAGAATATTTTTAACATTTGATTTTAGAGACAACACATAACCATGAAGTTTTTTGAAAAAAAAAGAAGTTTTTTTAAAAGTTGATGAACATTTTTGTAGGCGAATGTCGAACATTTCATAACCACTGAAAGAATTCTGAATTTTTCATATGAATATATGTAAAAATTCCATTTTCTGTAAAACATTTTTCCTTTGGAATGATTTCCTTGGTTCTTAATGGCAATTTTTTTCTTGATATTAAATGAAAACAAATATTTCTTTTTTATTTTTATTTCAATAATGGACCTTGCATCTTTTTATATTTTATTTTAAATTAATTGTATTTTGTCATTTTTTTCCTAAGCTTTCTCATAGGTGCATGTAATTAGAAGAGGATGATTCAGAATGGCTAATAAACACTCTTAAGTTTTGATCTGATCGGTCTGTGTTGCAACAAAACAGACTATAGGTTAATCTATAATGGGAGTCACTTTGATAACATTTCATATGCATGTAGAGTTTTATAAGGAGTCTTTCAGCTCTACTGAGATTCTCTTAAGCCTCTTAAGCATGCCCTGTCAGCAGATCACCAAGGTACAAATCTCTGAGCGGCTGCAGTTCTAGCTCTGGCTCAACTCTTCCAGTCCCCGTCCTCTGCGGGGCCAGCATCCAGCAGGCATCATATGACTTAGCCTGTGCTGTGGGTTCACAGAGCCTATCCCAGCTCCATCCCAGAAGGGGTCTTCAGGGCACTCTATCATGTCTTCCAGCCTTGGTGTGGGGGGACCAAAAGGTTCAGAGAGCGTTTATTTCCCCATGGTACAAGATATAGCCAGTGCCGGTGGGCCTTACCCCAAAAGAAGCTGGATCTTGGCTTCTCAAGATTGGTTTGTGTGCATGTCATTTTAATTAATAGCTTAATATGTAAACCACCTACCTGAAAGTTGGGAGATTTTTTTTCTAATTAATGTTACTTCTAACTGGAAACAAAAGACCTAAACCAAGGTTTCCCAACAGAATAGTGGGGACAGTTGCGTTTTCAAGGCCATTTGTTCTACTTGGTAATAAATAATTAAGTATTTAAAGGGAGATAGAGAGAGAGAGACTCAGGGTCAGAGTGATTCAGGTAGACCCAATATCCCAGGTGACCATGACCGCAGCAGTGAGAAGAGCTACAGCCATCATTTCTTACATAGTCTCACTGAGGCTTCTGACAGAGATTTGTCCCTAAGAAAATAGGCACTATCACCACCACCAGCATAAGACATTTCTGTTTAGCATGAATTCACCTTCTGCGGTATTTCTTAACTGGTTAGTTTCCTGATTCCTGTGTAACCATTTCCTATGTCTTCCCAGGTACTCTATGAACCAGGAGTTGTCTATTTCAAATGAGAAATAAATAATCTTTTAAGCGTCAAAGCCCCTCATTTCTAGATGCTGCGATGCAAAACCATCTCGCAAATATAATATACATCCCCAAAGATATCAAGAAAGAAATATCTTCTCATTTTTGGAAAGCAATTTTGTAACAAGGGTGTCAGTAATAGCTGGGTATTGGGCTTAATGATTCAGGAAGCATCAACTAGTCTTATGTCAATTTAAAATTAAGCAAATGATTGAAAGCTTCTCTGAATGGGGATGGATTGCTGCATCTAAGCCCTATCTCGTACATTCAGAAAAAAGAATTTTTCACAGGAAAAATTGAAAAAGGAAAAGCTATAGATTAAAAATAAGTCATAAAGGAACAAAGAATCAAAACATATTATTAAAATAAATATGAGTGATACACAGGTGACAAGCCCTTGGTTTTAGGGCACCTGGCATACTTTCTTCTATGTAAATAGTTGGCAAAAACTGAACAGCAACAAATGCAACCCTGCCTGTGTGGTGTTGTGGCAAACACCTTGCTAATGAGCAATAAGTTTTCACAAGAGCAAACAGCTTCACACCCAATTACCTATTTCTGTATGTATTTTCCCAATGTGAGACCAATAGAGAAAATGTTTGTGATTGACTGCTGTGTGTAGCTGCAATTTAGGCATTTTTATCAAGTGTGACTAAAATACGATGCAGAAATTTCAAAACCAAATTTTAACTCAGCAGAGCTTTCTCTGACTTTAACAAAACTTCTGATATGACATGTCACATATTCAGGGGGCTTTGCTTACCGGTATGTATAAGGTCCTCTTTGTTCAAGTTTTGGACGTGCTCCTAGGTCTAATACCTCTGAGGGATTTTGCACATGGAAAACCCAAAACTGCCTGTAAACTGAACTTCCTGGCACAAGCCAGTTTTGAAAAGCAATGGTACCATTTGCAATGACAGCTTCCTAGAAGGACAAAAAACAAAGCTAAAGTTAACCACAAAAAAAAGGGTGACAAGCTGCAGACGATTGTAGAAGATTCCCAAACACACAGAAAAAAAGCTATTTTATCATCAATATGAGGCATACAGCACACATTTTTGGCCAGCATTGGAAGGTAGCCTGACATTCCTTCTCAATGAGAGCAAATGTGAGTCCCCCTAAAATAAGTGACCACAAAGTTGATATAATTGCTACTGTAGCCAGTAGCAAAACTTTCCTACTGCTGTGGTTGGGCATTGCCTTAATTCCCAAATACTTGCCAAATCCACTGATTATTTGTAAAAAGAAAATCTTTGAATGACTGAATGATACCCAACAGTTTTTAGAATCTATAAACTACTTTTCATACTTTTGCAAGTAGGGAAGGGAGGGATGAAGAGAGGGAGGGAGGGAGGAAGAGAGGGAGGGAGGGAAGAAACCACCCAGGGGAGGAAACGAGAGTTATCTCTGAGCATTACTCAGGCACTAAGTAATTTTGCACACGGAGAAACCAAATAGTGTTTTTGCAAAACCGTTTGGTTTTTTTTGTCAGAAAACTCTTGTCACCACAACTGAGACTTTCTAAGAAATCTCTCCTGTTTTGATAAAATTTTCTTAGGAAGGTTTCCCAGGTACAGACAATGAGGGGAAAACATGGATATAAGGACAAGACAAGACATCAGGAACCACTCAAGTATCCAACAGTTTTATGCCTGTGGCACTCGGCTATAATATGGTAAATGCCTATTCAGACCTTGGGACTGTACAGTGAGAAGGAGAGTTTGAAGGTATGTTCCTGCTATTGTCAGGGGAATGCCTGCTCTGCCTGGTCTACATCATGCCTCTTTTTATATCATTTTCACAAAGTCCTAGGATAATGTTTTTCCCCTTGGTGGTAAAAAACTAGAAAAGTTTTTTTCAATAATAAGGAAGTTTTAGGCTGCCTGGCTCCAACATATAAAATGGTTTTTTATTAGACTTGTGCAATAATAATTGGTTAATTTGCACAGCTCATGGAGTCCCAGGAAGCAAAAGGCTGGAATCCCTCCAGAAAACAAGAAAAGACATTTTAAACTCCAAGTTGCTAGATTTTCTTGCTACCTTAATTTTCTATCTCCAGAGTTTATTTAGCAAGCACCATCAAAAAAAAAAAAAATAAAAAAAGGATGCTGCCAATTAAGAACCACTGCAGTTAGAAACGAATATCATGTCTCGGAGAACTTGTAACACAGGCAGGGCTTTGTCTGTCAAAAGCTTGTATGGTGGAGTTGCAAAAGCCTTGCTGGTGGTGTAAAGCACCGGGCTTGCTGTCTGAATATCTTCTATAATATCTTCTATCTTATGTGTCTGTGTGTGAGAGGGGAAGGAAACCTTGTCACAGTAAACATGTTATCAGCTTGAGATCTTGCACTCAGACCCGACAGCTAAAATTCTCTTCAGCCTCGTTTTGCAAACCTCAGGAGGCCAAAGACTGTATCAAAACTGTGATCCAGCATGGGGCACACCATCTCCTTGGTGAAGAGAGAAAAGCTTACATGATTTGGAAATCATCTTCTCAGTTTCCTCAGAGAATTGCCCAAAGGATCTGGGAGAAGCAGGCTGGTCTGCTCAGAGTCTGTCTGTGACCTGTGCCCAGCGGGGTCCTGGGAATGGGGCAGGTGCCAGGATTTGACCTCCTGCCTCTGTGTAACTGGGGTAGGGAAATGGTTAAGGATTCCCATCAGCTCAAGAGGACAAACCAATCTCTCTAGAAGTCAACAACACACAGGCACAGAAATTAATAGATTTCAAAAATTCAACCTTGTGATGATAGATTTTAAAGCAGTGTTATTTGCTTCTTAAAAGCTTTAAGTTTTCTCCTGCCTCCCCTTATATATGTAACCCTTTGCTAGGGGTTATAATAGGGGTTAGAGTATCACAGAACGATACGCGACCTGCCCCGGCACTGCAGAGTGCCTGAGCCACGGGACCCCTCCTCCTATGCTCGAGAGGCTCAGAAGTCGTCCCCAGCCTCTCTCTAGCTTTAGCCATTTTCAGCACTTTGAGAAATTTTTATTCTGCAGTGATCGTATCTTATGACTTTGTGTCAACTTGGAAGAATATAAGGAACATGCTTCCTCACAGCTTTTTCCGTGTAAATTACCTTATTTTTTCCAAAGGGTGGATCTTTGCCTCTGGTCCTCTCTGTGCTATTGCAGGGAAAGCTAAGAGTGTGCAGGACTTTATACCTGCTTTTTAGTACAACCAGGACAATCTTCCACCTAAACTGAGACTGTAGGCTATATGAAGAGCATTTTCATGTACTTTCTGTACTGCCCCTTATGGCACTTCACTATACTATGTACTTTCTTATCAATCGAGAACAGATTTTCTGTCCACCTAAAGGGTGAGGTGGCTATCCTTTATTTTCATGCAAGAATAACTGCTATGTCCATACCTCCCTTAGAAATGCTAACAGAGGAAAATTACGTTAGGCATTGTATGAAGTAGTCCCTGGGACCTGAGTACACGGGACAGCAAGGTCCCAATGAGCTACTGTGTGGATTTGCAGCCCACCATTTATTCTGTGCTAATGCCACCGTGGACACTCTTGGAGGATGCTTCGAGGGGACAGCTGATCCAACCTGACAGCGTTGCAGGCAAAGGGGCAAGCGCAGCCCTCGGTACCTGACCCACGTGCCTTCCCCTTCCTTCGCGCCAGCTCTCATTCCTCGGGGGGCTATTTCTGCCTGCTGGACTGGAGGAAGAGTCTTTCCTCTTATTTTTGCTGGGTTACCTTTCTACCAGTGAGCCACTTGGCTCAGGGGCGTGGGTAGGGGGAAGGATCAGATGAGAACTAGAGTTAAAACAAGGGAAGCAGCAAGACAAAAGAGGGAGGGGGAGGAAGGGAGCAAAACCATTACTTTTGGTGGCATTCAGCCACTATTGTTAATAACAATTCTCCCACAAATGAGGTGTATATGATTCTCTGCCACATACTTTGAGAGTGCAAATGGTGCATTAAAGAGGAAGAAAATCTAGAATTCTGTCTTTATTCATGTCTTCATTTAATAAAACTAACATACTCACACCGGTAAGCCCCTTGGGTTTTGGTTGTCTTATCAGTAGTGAGGCCAGTCCTAAACATTACTCCTCCCTATGGCTGGGAACTTGTATATTCCTGTAGTAGCACTGCTGTGCTTTGTGATATTATGAAAGGCAGGGTAATTTGGGAAACTACTAATTAGAAATTGATAACGTGAAACACTTCTCAACTCCCTAGTCAACCTACATCAGCTCTAATATCTTACGCAATAGTTAACTATTGAACTATTGTTAGCAAAAGTAGCTATACAACATGTAATTGCTACACAGCCAAGTTCATCTCATGACCTAACTGTGCAACACTGAGTGAAATCAATGGGAACTTTAACCCCTTTTGTTTACAAGACTATTTTTCCCTGACTTGTGAGGGGTCAACTGGCAATACATGAATTCAAGAAATGCTGAGCTGTCAGCAATAGAGACTTGCTTTACACTAAATTCAGCCATCATGATTTCTGATGAATACAAAATGTAAGACAAAGTTGCTGTCTTGACAAAGGATCTGGCCAGATGGACAAAAGATGTCATTTTCTGGGAACTGAGAGATGCCATGAGTACTTCAGGCTCTAACAAAATTGTTACTAGGTTATCTCTATGTGTTGTATGTGTTGGGCTGCATAAGTAAACTGGAGGAAACAAAAAATACAATTCTGTAAAACTGAGTAAGTTAAGTTCCAGGAAAGCAAATCTTCTTCTATTTTGCAGATGAAGGTACAAACAGCCATTTATAACTTTTTAAGTGATGATTATTATCTTATTATTAGTCTTTCTATTCAAGCTTTGTTGGATCAAAACTTTACGTCCTTTTTCAGTCCATGTTCATAAAATAGTATGGAAGCCAATCAAGTTTGTCATTGATAATGCTGGAATATATGTGATTAGATCGCTTATGTTCTGCTGAGAGCGAGCAGTTGCTCTTGCTTCATTAGTTTAAGTAAAGAAGTGACATATGAATGTCACAAACACAATTTTAAATTACAAGTGTTTCCTATGCCTCCAGTAGCTACGGAGATATAATCTGGCTAATCACAGATAACAGATATGTAGAGAGACAGAGGGCTAAAAATCACAATAGATAAAATTGACAGCTATGATTCTAAAAATAGCAGAGACTAGCTCTGAGGACTCTAAAGAAAGAATGCAGCACTGAGGTATTGTGGCAAATCATACACCATTCTGTATTATCAATTCATCAGGAATTCTGTATATTAAGTAACATTATATGGCTTCTGTTAACCTCCTGAGCTCATGCGCTCAGGTAGAAAGCAAAAACTCTTAGAGAAGTTATGATAACGATTTTTCTGGCAAATGAATCAACTACCAATGGGTTTGAGTGGTTAAACCTAGCTGGGAAAAAAAGCTGATCAGCCCCAAAAAACAGTAATTTTATGATAACTGAAATGATGGGTATTTTGCCTAAATAAATAATATTGCTTTAAGGGAGGGAGAGGCAAAAAGTAGTAATTGAGCCGTGTTAAAATATCTCCTTTCAACATTATCAGATGCAATCTTTCTGATTTGCCGTTTTGAATTCACCTTTCCTTTTGATTTTGTAAATGTTAGACATGATAATGTCTAATAACAATGATAATAGACATGATAATGTGTAAATGTGGAGTCAGTTGAAAAGGTACATTTTGATAGCCTCAAACAAAATATTTTTGACAAAGAACTCCAAAACTTTCATGTTTCACACCTAACTTACCAAGGACAGTTTTCTAAGTCCCTAAGGCCTTCATGGAAAGGCATCTCCCCACCTTGGACACATTTAGTGTTTGGGAAAACTAGGATTTTTGTCCTTTGGTACTGAAATCAAAGGCACATTTTAAAGGGGAAATCTCCTTTCCCTGAATAGTATCAGAGCTGAAATAGCTCAGCACTAATCTCGTTCCGTGGATCCCTGCCAAGATGCTGCCAGTGGTGTAATTTTGAGTGTGCTCTTCAAGTGACAGTTTCTATAAGGAGCCTCCAAAAAGATTCAGAAAATGTATGTAATGCTGAGATTCTTTAAACCTGCTGGAGGCAGGAGTAGAAGCAGCTTATCCCAAAAAGATCTGAGGCACAGGTAGAGCAGTCTGGGGTTACAGAAGATAGCGATGTGTTTTGTGTCGAAGCACAGATATATGTTAATAAACTGGAACACATGAAGAGGTGACATCTCGGTGTTACATGGACTTTGTTTGGGTTGTCCACCCATGGACTGTTCATGAGTGGAGAACAGCACCTTCCCACTAGGAGATAACAGCCAATACCCTGAGAGTCTGTCAAATTTTTAAGGGCGCCCGAGATTGTCTATACGCTTGCAGATGCTTTCTGTTTGCTACGACACCAGCATGCAGCCTTCCAGCAAAACATGTCCTGCAGTGCTTACTCAGGCTAATCTCTCAATGACTGCAATAAAAAAGAAATGAGGCTGGTAGGGTTGTGTAAGCTGCAAAGATGTGTGCTTAAGGGGAACAAACTCAGGCTTCCGCTGCTAGCAGAACAAGAATGGTAAGAACTAATGATTGCATTGACTTTTGAAACTGAAGTTGTCCCTGTTTATTGGGAGATGCTGAGAAGCGCAGCTGGACTTGCTTGCGTGTAAATTGATGATAATGTGATTTGACTAAATCTTAATAACAAGTTGATTTATGACAATTTGATTTGTTATAGTGTGAAGTGTTCTAAAACCATTCAGGGGAAAAAAAAATATTCAACGTTTGTTTCTCTGGTCCAGCAATAACATTTTATAGCAAAATTGATTTCCCCTAGGAATACAGACTTGGTCTTACTGTGTTGCTGTCAGCTTCAGCAAAGCACTAGGATGTACTTTGAGACCAGTTGGGCAGAGGAACAACTAGGGGTCTTTTTTTCAAGTTTAATACTGTGCAGAACTTAACACATGATTTTGCTTGTAATGGTGGTATCTGAAACAGTTTTTACCTTTTATTCAAAATCTGTAATTTTGACATTTGTTTTCACCCAGGGGGTGAGGACCTAAGTTCAGTCTTTGCCTCATATGAATCCAAAGGGAAATAAAAATGCTTACAGGCCATATCTGAGAGAACATCTCGCTCACAAGGTTTCTTCCTGTCCTAGAGTCTCTATTCTTGGGAAATTCCAAACAAATTCGTCATTGGAATGAATCTGTTTCTATCAAACATCTCCTTAAAAAATGACATTTCCAGGAGTGAAAGTTTTCAGAAAAAAATGTATTTTCAGTATGCTCTGCACAGCAGACCTGTTTCCTTTGCAGTCAGCTCTATGTTTATCTTACCTCTAACCGCAGTGAATAACAAATATTTGTTTTTCATACTAGCCCTTTCATCAACACAGGTATATCAGAATTAGTTAGGTTCAAGTCCCTCTTGAGCATCTGCTGAACTGATGACGTATTTCAGCTGTTGCACATGGGCCTGAAAAGGAATTGTCTCAGAGTCTCCTGGTCTCACTAAATAGTCAGCAGGATAAATAAGGAAAAAATAATCTAGTATTACTTGTGCTTAGGAAAAAAAGTACCCATTAACTTAAATAAATAAAGCTTCTACAGATTTACTCTTTTATGTTTTATATGAACATAATTTGGTATATGGTACAATTTTTTTTATGTATATATATATCTCGCAAAGAAGCTGCCGTGAAATAGGTATAAGCATCTGAAACATGATCACAATGCAGAAAATTATAAAGAGGTTGAGGAAAATATTACTCTGTCTAATACTTTACCACTAAGAACTCATGCAGGTATAATTTCATATGTAGACATTTGCAAACCATGCTGTATAACTGGTTCATTATTTTAAGTAAACAGATGAACACATAACATTACTAACATGTGTAATTTGCTTTGAAAATACTTAAGACAACATTCCGGATTAACAATAAGCAAATATTTAATGTAAGGAGATACACATTCTTAAAACTATGTGCTTTCTAGAAAATCTGCCATTTCCTTAATAAGTCAATCAAATATAGAAAGTATGAGTTTTTTGTAAAATGCTGCAAGTTGGATGAGACATTATCTAGTCAGAATTATTCTTTTATTCTCTATAAATTTGAAAATTCCATTACAAATACAATAAGAATTGGAAAATTCCGCTGTAGCTAGGTTTTCACTGAGTTTGCTGACAAAATTTAAATGTTATGTAGAAGCCATATTTTTCTTTCTTTTTTCAAAATGATGGTAGAATCTAGGCGGGGTCTCAACAGTCAGTTTAGCATTTCCTGACAGTTCAACTGCCTTCAGTAGCTGTTAAGGACAGTCTTCCAGAAGGGCCTTTGAATAAGTGTCTCCGAGATCTCCAGAGTGTTCAGCGCTGCAGCAGATCATTTGGAGAACTAACCATCAGCCAAACACCTTAAGATTTCTAGATTTTTAACTGTAGGAGAGCCCACCCTGGCTACAGTGACCCCAAGTAGACTCCATGTCTCCATGGTGGAGAACTCAGGGCTTCCATAGTCTTTCACTCCAGATTACTCCATGATTTAGACCCTCAGTTATACATCTTTTTCACCGAAGGTGTTAATTAACAAACTAACTTTTCTTTTTTCTTTAAAGACAAACCTAGATTTTAAAGAAATAAAATAGTCTAAAAAAACAGAAAAAAAATATGTCTGCCAGGTCGCAACATCCTACTTTAATTATTCTTCACACTCCTTGGATCAAGGAGATGTATATGATCAGATCCTGTAGTCTTATGGAGCACATTGGCATGGATCATATAGTCACAGAACATGAGTGCAGGGTTAGATTCTGCATCAGAAGTTTGTTTAGATTATCTGCAGTATGTAAATATAAGTGCATGGAGTGAGTATCAAAATAAGAAAAAAAAATGCAAAAAAATAAGTGGATCACCATGGGGAAAAATAAAGAAACTAGAAGAAAACATAATAAAGATAAAAATAAAAAATGCTTACTTCTAAATTACATTACTGAAAATATACCTTGAAAACAATAGTTTAGCTTCTTATATGAAGCACGAAAGACAGCAAGAAAGTAAACATGACAATATAATTAATATACTAAAAAAATATTGCTGCAACATCTATTCTATATTCTATAATATGCATATATTATAAAACCTAGGTTTAATAAAGAAAAAAAAGGAAAAAAGCAGAAACAGAACACAAAATTTAGAAATAATGACTATTCAATAACCACAAACCATATAGACTTAAAAAAAAAAAGAAAAAAATTGTACCTTTTTTATTGCTTTGCCTATAAGGTTATCTCCAACTGGTATCAGAACTCCTCCAAAGATAGCCAGCACAGCGCCGATGATGGCCCCAGTGAGGAGCCCACAGTTTCTGTTACAGCCCATTACTCTCCTTTGTCAGGGTGCAGACAAACAAAGTAAAAATATCCTTGATGTAAGGCTTGATATTTTTCTCTCACTTCTTGGTCCCAATAGACTCACTGATCTTCCTGAGAGAAGCTGCTAACATAAGAAGAGAGAGAACAAAAGTCACATTCCAAAGCTCAAAGTACAAAGTGCATAAGGTGAAGCAGGTAGCAAGATAACACATCAAAACCAGACAGACAGTGGCAGACAGTGCCAAAAAAGGTTGCATGTACTTCTGGCAAGCTAGTCACTTGTTACCTATCATTATCTTTTTATAATTCCAATTCTCTAAAAGACCAATAAGTTCTTTCATTAGTTTTTTGGGTTTGGTTTTTTTTTTTTTTTTTTGGTTGGTTGGTTGGGGGTTTTTTTTTGGCTCTGTTGCATTAGGGCAAACTGACATCATTTTTCAGCTGACACTCTTCCTGAGGCAGACACCTTCTCTAAAATCTCTCTGTGACAGAGAAGGCTATAGCCCTCTGCTTTTATCATAGCCAGCAATGCCCATGGCTCCCACTTCAGGCAAAACCAGGAGTTTACACCACTGGTGTGAGCTACCCAGGCTGTTTCTGCACTATGCCAGTAAGGAAGTCCTCAAGGTCCATCAGCACCTTGGTGGGAATGGCAGCCTCTAATGGGAGGCACCTGCGAGAAGCCTGTTCTTCCAGATCTCTGTCACTCCGCAGTCTACTACTGAAGGGATAAAACTTTGTTTCAGCAACTTCATGACAAAGGCATGACTGGAGTTTCCTTTGAGAGCTGCGTTCTCACCATCACCTAGTTACATCAATCCCGGTTGCCTACAGAAAGGCAGACTTCTTAAAGTGAGTCTAGATTTTGATCTTTGAAAGTAACACCTTATATTTCAAGATCATTCGTTCTCAGAAAAAAAAGTCTGCAATTACTCATTGGAAAATAACAGTCGCTGGTAATATGTGCTAATGTATCTTAAGATCTGGCCCCCGGTGAAAGGTGTTGTAAGGAAAATCGGAATGATAACAGTGCTGAGCTCTGGTACGTAATCTCCCAGTGATATTTTTTCTTATTTGTTAATGTTTATTAATAACTGAGACAAAGAGATGCCTAATTTGCAATTCAATTTATTCTTGTTTAGGAATTAATCACATCCACAGAATTGGCAATTTTGTTATTTGCTTTAGACCTCCAGCTAGCAGAAAAATGCTGTTTTCTATTTTGGATATCATTGTCCATATCCTTTTTTTTTTTTTTTTAAATCAATTTCTGTTTGTTAACATGTTGTGTTTATCTCTAAATCAATGTTAAAGCAGGTATTAGTTGCAGAGTTAATTACACACTCAAGGCCAAACACAGAGAGCAAAGGAAAACAGAAAGGTGGAGTGGAAGAACAACTCAACCTGAATTCCCAGTTTACTCATGAGGATTAAAAAATCTTCATGGATTTATAAATAGTGAAACAGGTTTAGGAATAGCATGTGTTTTATTTTCGTAAGCACAGTTATGAGGTCCTTTTATTAAAAAGAGGACACACACAGCATGCACTGACATATAAGGTACCATGGTCAGCAGGTTAATCATGTGTCCTGCCACATCCTACCAAACTCACAGTTATATGGTGACTGTGCCTGAGCCCAGACTGCTTCTTCTACCTGCATTGGAAAGCCACCTTTTCCTGCTCTTGCACTAGCAGCAGTTTATGGGTCCCTTGACATTAACAATGGCTATTTCTGTACATTTTAGCTCATTTGGTATTTTAATCTTTTCTCTTTGGATACTTGCAAGTAGAATGACCAAAAGACTACATGAAATCTCAGAAAAATTATTTTTGTATAAGTCAACCAGTCCATCCACTGGTCACCAAGTGATCCCTTGTGGTTCCCAGATCAGAACTTGACCCTTTCACTGATTTAGCTGCACACACAAAGGATCAAGAAAGAAACCAGATTTGGCTAAAGTTGTTTGACTTTGTCTAGGGACTGAGAGGAATCTCTCTAGAGCTGTAAACCTGCTTTTCTTCTGGAGGAGGTGCACCTTGTTTGAACTGCAGGCTTCCTTAGTTGCTTTCCTCTCTACCAGCAACGTTACTCTGTGCCTTTGCACACAACAGCAATAGAGAATCATCAAACATGTAACATCAAGAAAAGAATCTATTTTCCGAAACTTTTCATGCAACCTGTTGCACTTTTCATAGAGATAACTGAAAGACGACTTGACTGAATTATAACAACACCAAGTTTTTAAAGGCTCTTTGATATAGTGGATGGATGCATAACCTGGCTAACAGCAAACTTCAAAGCAAACTCAAGTTAGAAATTTATTAGACCTGAAGACTTTCACCTTTTAAGTGAAAGTCACTAGAACCAGCTCTCATATCTTTGTAGATACGCTCAGATCACTATCTTTAGTCTGGTAAAAGCAGAACTGTAATACTGCTGTGCAACTCACTGGATAAGTGATGTGGGGATTTAAAAATATGACTGCTGTTACACATTATAGCAAATCTAAGGAGAAACAGAAATTCTCAATGAAATAACATTCTGGAAAGTACATATTTCAGGTTGATTTTTTTTCTGCAGTGTGATCTATTCTAGCAGATGTCATTTAAAAAGTGCGTAAATTCACATTTTAGAATTAAAAATGGATATTATCTCTTCCATAAGTGTTTAAAGAGGGCTTTTAGACATTGTCAGACTTTTTTTTTTGGCTTACACACTGAAGGTTTTCAAATTCAACAGATATACACCTTCCACCAAAGTACATTTCTATCTAAGTTTCTACAAGATGTGCCAATGGAATTTTTTCCTGTGTTAGGCAAACTAGGTATCTCTCATGAGCACTAGCAATACACAGCTAGAAAGTAAGTGGCTGCTAATAACTTGTGTCTATTCCAGGCTTTTGCAAATTGTAAAATATTCACCCTTCTCCCACCAAACACAATGCAATAGCAGTCTAGACATACCTCAATTTATGCAATTCAAATTATCCATTACACAACTGCAGTGAAGAGCACTCACAATATGACACTCAATTTCACACAGAAGTCAATAAGCTATTCTCATCTATCGCAACTGAATGTAAAATATGAAGATTAAAGTAGAAATTTTCAGTAAGAATGCAGTTGCATCTGGGAATTCATATTCAAGTGAAAATAATTTACCTTAATCAGAACAGAAACTACCATCATAAAATCAGATATTCTCTATGAGATTATAGTATCAGTTAAACTTAGATTGGACTGCAGGATTAGTAAGAATATTCACCCCATTCTAGAGTGTTGAGTATGTATTTTTAATATTGTTTATTAAATAATATTTTTAATATTGTTTATTGTTTATTAGGACTATTGTCCTTAATAGAATATTAACAATGGAAATGGTCTGTTCAAATCTCTAAAAAGACAATTTATAAGCAACTGAATAGGAAGAAAGATGCAAAATGTCATTAAACCTTTTCTTCCCTACTTAACTTATACCTCTGCACATGTCAGTTTAAAGCAAGCCCTTATAAAAATCGAAGAATGTTATCTGTATTTTATCAATGATTTCTCCAGCTCTAACAGTAACTTTTAAACATTGCTTGACATGGCATTACTTCGATTCTGACAGAAAATCAGATTTATTGCCCCAAATGAGAGCAACTACATGGGAAAGCAGCACCGTGTGTAGTGAAAATTAAAATGGGTCTTGAAAACTCCCATTAAGAGTTTCAACCCAAAACCATGGTGTTTCTTTAAACATAATTCCCGTTTCTCCAAGGTCAGATAGTGGGATTAAAAATCCTGAAATTATTAAGAGATACATTTGCAAGGAAGATGTTATTTCTGTCTTTTTTTTTAATCTTTGATGTACTTTGAAATTATAGTTTTGAGATTTTCATCTGCAATAGTAAATAATACAAATATCACTTTAAGAAGATGCATTTCTTATAAATTCACATGACTCCAGAACTGTAGTTTCAAGAATATTACACACCAAAAGACAGAATGCAATTGGGAAAGCCAGCAATACTGAACATAAAATACCATTGCTAACATAGTAACGAATCATTTCACTAACACATGTAAAATTTCACTGTTTCTTGCAAGCAGCTTTGCAAAATCCTCTCATTTTATTTTATATTAAAAATAAATACTTTCAAGAGCTTTCCACCAACTGCTTTTAAAAGTATTTCTGAGGAAAACCCTCTGATTTTAAACGTTGTATCATACGACTCACCTTGAATAAGGGCAACTGACTTTTCAGCTGAATGTACAAGTACTTAACACATGACTTGCATCAAGTTACGAGAAGACAAGCAGCTAAATCTCCCCACAAGCACATAGCCTCTAAACTCCGAGGGAGTGTTTATATATTCCAAGAGACGTCAGTTCCCTCTTTATCTTTTTGCCAGAAGAAAAAGTTAAGTTGTATCCGAGCTTGGGGCGGGGGGGACGTTATTTTTACAGTCTGACTAAAAGCCACTACCTACATCTCGTGGCAATATACTTAGCAGCTGCAATCTTTGTCAAATTTTGATCCAAGTGAGTCAAAGGTCAAGGATACAAAAGGGTAACTTACTTATTTAGTTCCCACTCACTTCTCTAATATCCATTTGCTTTAAAATTGCTCATACTGGCAAGTTAAGGCTAATCAGTTCCTCACAGCTTCTTTAAGATACAGAATATTTTCAAATATTCTTCGCAACACGGTATGGTCTGCTGTATAAATAAAGCCTTACTATTGCAGTCATTCTCTCTCAAAATAAAGGCTAAACACCTTTGCAGCTTAATCATCATTATAATATAATATAATATATTTTCAAGTAATAAAAATCAGGAAATGTCAGAATATTTTTGGAAGGGATTTCTTTTCACAGGTTAGATTACATTTCCTCATGAAGTGCTAAGGCTCTTCCTCTTTTACTGCAAGTTCAGTGAACTTCATCCCAGAAGCTTCTTTTTGTTAATGTATCTAAAAATCAGTTATTTTTTCACTAACATCTGTGTAGACCAAAGTGTCATCCCAGCACAGTGCCTACTAATAATTAACAATAATCATTTTGGCAAGCTTTTGCACAAATATTTTTTAAACATGCCCTCATCCCAGGTGAATTAAATGAATGGATTGTTTTAAAAGATTATTCTGGCAGCAGAAAGAGGAAGTGATTTATATTTTGTTTATTTAATTATAAGAGAGAAAATGTTCCCCAAAATAGATTCTCAGGTCCAGACTTCCAACGTATAGCATTGAATAGTTTGTGATCCACACGTTTAGTGTTTGCTATGTGTTTTGACTGACTGTTTACTGTTCTGGTTTTGATATTGCCCTACTTGAAAGTTAAGCTTTTGTGGAATAAGCTCCCTTCTTCTGATCTATTTCTGCTAAGAAAAATTAAGGTGGATGAAGATTAATGAATTTGAGGTTTTGTCTCCTCATAGTGAAAGCCGAAGTGAAAGCGAGCCCGGTCCTTTGAAAGCAACCTGTAGGACAGTCTTCGTACAAGGCTCGCTGCCGGGGAAAGTTGGTGACCCTGACGAACTCCAGTTTCACATCCTTGAAAGGAGCAGTAAATTTGCTTTCCTCTATTCTCTAATTAAAGAATGGAGGTTAACTGCTGAAAGAAACAATCCTCCACACTGTGGTTCCCATGCACTACTTTTATGAATATTACAATTAATTATTTTTATTGGGCATCTCTTTGTATGATGCTCACCTGAGGATGCACTTACTCGCGATCCCCCAGGTTTCCTCCCAGGCTGCATAGCCTTCTTCGCGCTGTTTTGTCTCTTCTAAGAGAAAGTAATTCCAGTTACACCTGCCCATGGAGATGTTCCCTACCATGCTCATTTTCTCCAGTTGCATTGTGTGGGATTCAGTGTGCACCATTCATAAGGGAGGAAAATATCTGCTGCTGTCTTTTCATTGGAATCCTAAAGACACTAAAGCAGATGTAATGAAGTTCTGTCTTCAACATTTACATGCTGAGTTGTATCAGCTAATTTTGTGACTTGTGATATCCTACTATTGTCCTATATAAGCAGCATCTCTCCTAGCAGGTAATGCTTGGCAGTGAAATGAGGACTGCCAGGTTCAGCTGCAGAAACCAGCTAAAAGGATTTGACGCTGAGAGAGTTGTGCACTTTTGGGTATCAGTCATTTCTGTTTCTTAAAACCAAACCAAACCAAACCAAACCATAAGTAAAGGCAGCACTTCTGTGCTCTCTGGCTTCATATCAGAGTTCAGAGGTTACAGGAGAGAAAACAGAGTGATGACAGAAAAAGCAAAAAATTATGTCCTTCATTGGAGTCGCCAGCGGTGCAACAACAGACAAGCTCTCCCACAAGGAGAAACTGTCAAGAAAGAGAAATAGTGTAAATGACACTCATGTGCTTGATGAAGACACAGAAAACCCCAGGAAGAAGAAAAAGATAAATGCAGTTGTTAACTCCAGATAAAGTCCACCCACATTTCCTGGAATAAACATATTACTGACAAGAAAATGCTGAAGAGATGAGTGTGATTCCTAGCTCTTCTCATAGTAGGGTTTTTTGTAAGTCACATTATTTGAGGTGCTTTCTAAACACAGAAGGGCACAAATAAGGAGAGATATCACCTTACTGTATGCCCTAGGATTCCCAAACAATCAGTGCCCCCCCTCCCCCACTTTTTTTTACATTAAGATCCCTTCCATTGAGGGACGACATACCTTTATGGTACATATAATTTGAATTTTGAGGATGCCCACATAAACGTTTCCACATTCCTGAGGGAATTCTCTGATTTACAGTGCAGCACACAATGATTTTATATTCCCGTGTTTCCATAGTCATGGCACTCTCAGGGTTTTTCTTCACCTGCCTGTTATTAAACTTGTAAAAATTAATCTTAACATTAATCCCTGGTCAGATGTGGAGATGTGGCTGAGGTTAGCAAGCATATTAGAAAACTCCAGGAAACTCCTTTTTGTACTGTTGCACCCTCTGAATTTTTCAGAGGACACTAGCATTTAAAAAAAAAAAAAAAAAGGCAGCAAAAAAAAAACACCCTTCTAGTTGTTAGGTAAAGTGCCAAGACTTGAGACAGAAGATGAGGCTAATGTTCTCAGCATTCAAAACGTGATTTTCTATAATCTTTTGAGTAGTCTTCCTATTTTGAAATAAAGGTGTGAGGAATTATGTTTACATCTTTTCCGTGGCAAGTAAAAGCACAGACTTGTTGCTTACCCAGCTTATTCTATTAGCATCAACTTCTGTGGCTTCTACTCAAAATCCTGTTGCCACCGCTCAGTGGTCCTCTCTGGCTTCTCCACAGTTATCAAGTCCCACAAGAAGGGTTGTATCTTGCTCAGTAGTGAAAAAGTTAAAGCATTCAAAAACACCACAAAAACCAAGAACTTGTGGCTTCTGTCCCCCAATACACTCTTTTTGATTCAACACACTCATTTTCAGTCATGTGCACTTAGTTCTACTGAGGAGAGCGAGGGATATGAATCATCTACAGAAGAAAATGTGCAATATGCCACCAGCTGGATAAGACTTCTGTCCTTCCGCGTGTATTGGAGATACTAGGAGGTGTTCCTTTATAGGGAATGAAATTTTGTGTTTATGAAAGGCAGTTTGATTTCCTGTGGATATGAACACCTTCTGCGTATCACCTCATCGGATAATACGTAACAAGCAGCACATGAGCTATCCACCCAGACCAGCCCCAACAATTTACTTCACTTCTATTGCATAAGAGCCTCCCCTAGAGTGAGCATGACCTATCTTCAATTACCGCCTATAAAGTACCTGAATATGTAACACCATAATTATAAAAATAGTAATATAGAACTAATATTTTTTTCCTAAATGAAATATTCACCGTCTTTGTTTCAGGTACTCTCACTGTTACTGCAATTTTCTACCACTTAATTTTCCAAAACCCACGGGAGAGAACAGATTTATATGGCAGTAGTTACCTCATTTTAAAAGAAGGAAGTATCAAGATATTTCAGTTGTTTCAGGTTTGCTTTTAATACCTCTAAGGACCTAAAAGAAAAGAAAGACACAGTTTCATAGCAATAACTATTTTTTTGTTTAAACTTAACTACAAATATTTGTTGCAAATAACTTCATCCAGGTAAAAAGTAAGCATCTGGCCTACGGAAGATGAATTGGTTTCCTCTCCTCTCAATGGAGAGGTATGGGCACTTCCACAGACTCACCTATGTACCTTAAATGCTTATTTTAGCAAGGATATATCATATCCTCTGGAGGTACTGATGTCTCTCCTAACTATAGACCATCTAAACGTCTCATTTAAGTTAGACAACTAACTTTCAGAAGGTTAATATTAGAAGAATTCCGTTCAAACTCTCCAGAAATGTCTTTCAACTCCTCCCCTCATCAGTGCACCATAGTGACAATACCAGGACAGTTGCACAAGGTTGTAGTAAGTGCAAACAAGTTGTGAAGCAAGAAGAAAATGCAATGAGAAAACTTCAAAATATTTATCATCTGACATTAATGGAAAGTTTGGCCAAACATCGCAGAGGTATTGTAGCAATTTTTTGCCTACCTCACACCACAGGGTTTTAGTGCAGATGTGTTGGCTTTCAAGGCTTTCCTGTGTATGCCCTGAGGCATATTCCAACCACTCATATAAGCCCTCTGAGAAAAGATCCTCCTAAACATGCATTAATACCTGATTTCCCATCACAAGAGCTTGGAACACTCATTTCAAAATGCTATGTAGCTCCTTCGTTACCCACTGAAGACTCCCAACTGTAGTTTTCCCGGCTCTGTGAATTGTTAGGACATAAGGTGTTGCCCCTTGTGATTCTCAGTGTGTTCTGACGATATGGAAAACACCCTAAAATACCATTGGCTCAAGCCAGCTTGGCAGCAGTACAGTGGAAACAGAGTGATATATTTGGCGCCTGCCAGTGATGAGTTTCTCTATCATATTGTAACTAAGTTCTTTAAAGGAAAAATGGATAATGGAAGACCCAGAAACTGCTTCAGTTCATTTTTTTCCCCAAAATACTGATTCTGAGCTCTTCTTCACCGACTATGTCATGCATAAACTGCTGCCTTTCTCAGTCCTCAAAATCACTTTTAAAAATTATTTTCAAATTATTTTAGCAGGGGAATGAGGTGAAAAAAGCACAAGAGAGGCAGGGATAGAGCCGATTTTGGTTCTTCCACTCCTGTGGGTTCATGTGAGGATGACACAGAAAGTAGATAGGAAGGAACTTCATAGAACTGAAACCAATACAGAAACTGTAATATAATAACTTAGACTTATGGGTGAGTCTGAAGCAGCAAACAGACATACAA